CACTGATTACACTGTAAGTGATAATCCACCTTAACCAAAATCAAAGTAGACTATCACTCACCCACACCAGATGGAAAACTCTACAGACTGTCGGTTCACACCCCATCACAAGCCAGCAAAACACCCACTATATATAATTACATATGCATATATATCGTCAAATAGAACTGCCCGGTAAACCGTAGGCAGAGAGGGAGAAGAGGACAACAATATTGTAGTTATTTTTTCAAATTTGGTAAAGAATTTCGATGCAACCCTGAGGCAAAAGTTGTTCAGTTTAATTTTGTGCATCACATAGTTTTTTTTTCAGAACTTCTTTTCTTTTTTCCTTTTTTCTTTTGCTGGGCCCTTCGCTTGCCTTCGCATGGCCGGGCCGCCGAGTCAAACAAGGTGACCTGGGCGACCTGGCTGGTGACCCAGTAGATACACCTTTTACAGTCACAGCACCGTGTCATGGCTTATCTGCTCCGACCACCCTCCTCTTCATCTGAGCGAAGGAAGCTGCTCTCCAACACCACCACCACTGCTCTTTCTCTAAGTTTGATGGATTACGAAACCCATACTGCCAGGTTACTTACCTCAAGCTCACTCTGCAATTCCTCAGACTTCTCCAGTTTAGGACAAATCCGCTGCCAGTCATCGTTCTTCAGACCCAGATCTCTCACCTCCTTATAATGTGCACCATCCCAAAAGTCCATGATAAGTGACAATAATCGCAAAGACAGTTAATACCTTTGATGCAGCGCACAAGGTATACCACCCGTGTGACTGAATGGTACACTACTACACTCGTGCAAATGTAAAGAAAATGAGCGAGAGCGAATGACAGAGAAGTTGAGAAAACGAAATTCCATCATCACATTGAAAACCAGATAGAAAGCAGTATGCACCGAGATACAAGCCAAATAAGAGCAAAGCAATGAACCCCAATGCCAATGTCAGCCCCAAACTCGGCACCATCAACAATGTATCCGAAGTCGTTCTTCTTATATGGCGCCCAGCGCCCAGATTGCAATCACACGGCACCTATACTAGCCTACCAACTTGATGATGAAACCAGGAGACCTCAGCAGCAGAACTGATGTACATGCAGATGTCGCCAATACAGACCTCCGTGACGAACCAGGTATGTCCTCTCTCTCCCTCATCCCTCGTCTGTCCCCCAACATACATGCCACCATGTCTCGAGGACCACCGTCCAGCCCCACCGGCGACCAGAGTGTGCAGCACGGCTATGGCTGCCACTCTCTGAGGCTGCGCCCAGGACCCTTCTTGCCCGTGTGTCCTCTCTCTCTCTCTCATCCCTCGTCTGTCCCCTAACACACATGCCACCATGTCTCGAGGAGCACCGTTCAACCCCACCGGCGACCAGAGTCCGCAGCCCGGCTAGGGCTGCCACTCTTTGAGGCTGTGCCCAGCAGCCTTCTTGCCCATGCCCGCGTGCACCTTTGAAGCCAGCCAGCGCCCAAGCCACCAGTGCCATTGAAACAGCTCTGCCGCGTACCTTCCGGCCAGCCAAGAAACTGGACAGGAGGCCTGCCCTTTCCTATATGGAAAGTGGCTGCGGCATGCGAGGACCTTTCCAGAAAGTGGCCCTGGGACCGACAGACCGTCAACTGTGCGAGGTGGCCCTGACTGGCTGCTGCGTTCTCATTTGTCGAGAGGCCGTGAGTTACACAGCAGCCAGGGAGGTCCTCATCACCCAGTTGAGGGCACAGTCACACATCCACTCAGAAGTGCAGACCGCGGCCTGGCCTTCCAGGCTTGAGGTAAGCCCGCCCGCAGGGCCTACCGGCCCGCCAGAATGTCAAAGGCAGCGCAGGCTGGGCTAGGAAGGCCTTTGCGAGGCTCACTTTCTCGCACTCCTCCTTAGCTTCGAAAGTCCTCAGAGATGCTGCTACTGCACTTTATTCTGCCCCTTGGATAACCATTTCTCCTAGAAGGAGACAACTAGAGGGGCAGTCTTCATCAACTCCTTCATGAACCATCGATCTTCTTTAGGATCTGTACGGTGCCTGAATCTGACCCGGTGTTCCCTTCGAGGTTTTGACGGCCTTCCTCGGCCAACAGGCTTTGGAACAGGCACATCCCGGTGTTCCACGGTCTCGTTGATATACACATGTCCGTCCATGGTTGGGGGCAGCAAACGAAAACTGATCTGTCTCAAAGAATGGTGCAAGCTTAGAAGCATGAAATACGGGATAGGTGCGTAGGTGACCAGGGATACGAATGACATAGGAGGGACCATTCGGATCATTTCTCACAATATCAGGGACTTCCCAAGGGCCAAAATACTGTGGCATTATTCCTGCCTCCTGTCCAAACTCACTTGACTTTACCCAGACTCGATCCGTACTTCAAATGTGGACTGTCGTCTGTGCTTATTCTCAGATGCTATCATAGCATCTTGTGATTTCCGAATGTGCTCAACAGCTTGCTAGAGCAGTTTGTCATATCGGATAGCGAACTCTATGTTGCCAGAAGCTGCAGTTAGTCAGTTTTCAGGTAGGAGAAAGTATAATGTTGATCTACGCTTCCAACTCAAATGCAATTCGTTGGAAGACCCACCAGTAGTGCTATGTACAGCGTTGTTGTACAGGTTGACGATGAGATGTAGTTCCTCATCCCAGTCATCTTGGCTCGGCTTGATGCAATGTCTGAGCAAGTGCTGCACCACACGGTTCATCAGCTCGGCTTGGCCGTTGGTTTCAGGGTGCTTTCCCAAAGTCATTTGCAGCTGGCTGCCCATCTGTTCAGCCGTTCTTCTTCCACAGTTCACTAGTGAATCGGACATCTCTATCACTTACTATAGACTTGGGCATCGGAAATCACGCACCGATTTGTCCATAAATGACTTAACATCTGTTCAGCCATCCTTCTTCCACAGTTCACTAGTGAATCTGACATCCCTATCACTTACTACAGACTTGGGCAATCGGAAATCACGCACCCATTTCTCCATAATACTACAGACTTGGGCAATCGGAAATCACGCACCCATTTCTCCATAAATAACTTAACAGCATGCTCAGTCTTTGCATTCTCCAACATCGCAACTAAGCTAGCATACTTTGAAAATTTCTCCCTATGACAAAGATATGCCTTTTGCCACTCTTGCTTGTCACTAGGGTATCCATGAAAACCATGGAGACTCTTTCCCGGAGGGGCAGAAATGGGCAAGGGCTTTACTAGTCCAAGTGGTGCTTGTGTTCCAGGTTTATCTCTTTGACGAACTTGACAAGTTTCCACATACCGTTTGGCATCATCTAGCATAGTGTGCCACCAAAATCGCTGTACTAGGTTTGCAGAAGTCTTCTTGTAACCAAAGTGTATGGTTGCATTATGACTCTGACTCTCCTAAAACTAAACTATGCAAAGACACTCTAGACGGCACACAAAGCCGTTTATTCCCAGCCTTCTC